GTCATGGCCGCCCCTGGGTCAGTCCATTCGTCCACCTGGAGATCCACAAAGTCTGTGCCACCGGTTCATGAACTGCCAACCGGTCAGTCGACAAGCTCATTCATAGGAAATTATTTTTATTTCTTTAATGTATGCGTTTTCGTATTTAGATCATTAATGAAAGGGGGGTTCGGCCCTGCCTAAGAGGGGCAACGCAGGCGGAGAGGGATACAACATCTCAAAAGAAAAACCGAGATACTGTGATAAAAACTCTCCTCCACCCGGGAATCGAACTTTGGTTTTCGGTGTGCAGTAGCCAAACAGTCACACCACGGATGCCAGTACCTCCTTGAGTGTGTAAAATCTAAAGCTGCAAAAGGTGTATCTGTAGCAGACGAAATATTTCTACTCTGAGCAATGCATTCTATGTATGGCGAGTAAACGTTTTAAAAGGTAATGTATTTATCAATAATAATTGTAATCAGATAATCAGTGGTATGTAGTAACTAGTTGTAAGTATCTTTTTTTAAAGCCATGCCATAAAAATCAACTTGATTCTTTTTTCCGTTCCAATTAGGTCTCCTCTTGTCACAAACTGGCCTGTCGGGCTTAACGCACTACGCTGTTTTCTGTGGAACTCATCCTATCCCAAAGGGTACCAAGTTCGGACCTTTTAAGGGTCGAGTGGTGAACCCAAGTGAGATGAAGACCTTCGATGACAACGGCTATATGTGGGAGGTATGTACTCTCAGTACAGTTTTTGTTGGTTGTAACCCCCCCCCCCTTCCCCTTGTGAACAAGGGTTTTCATACTAGTGGGAGATAAAACCCCGCCGAATAAAATAAAATAAAAGGTAAATTGCTCACACTGATGTTTTTAATGTTAGTTTAATGCAAGCGAGTGCTTTAATTTTGTGTTTATTTTATTATATATTTTTCAAGTGGAAGGGGGGTGGGGGTGGAATGTAAAGTTAAAAGAATTTTTTTTTTATTTTGTTACTGCAGAGAAGAAGGCTGTGGTTTTCTTTTATCTTTATTAACGGGTTAATTTTCTTTGATTTTTATTTTTAGTGAACAAACCTTCCATCTCTTTCTAATAAAGATGATGTCAGAGTGTGCACTTTTCAACACCAAAATCACATCGATTTAGATGACAAATGTCTTTGTTTCACTATCTGTTTTGCACTCGATTCTCGCTCACAGATCTTTAAAGAAGGCCGCCTCAGTCACTTCCTTGATGGACGTGGAAATTCTGGAAACTGGATGTCTTACGTAAACTGCGCGCGCACACCAACAGAACAGAACCTGGTGGCTGTGCAGGAAGGGGAGGTCATCTTCTATGAGGTGAACATCCCCTTATAATTCCCTCGAATGCACTTCTCTATCTAAACAGATTATGACTCAAAATTGTGTGTGTATGCACGAATATATTTGTTCATTTATTCAAACATTTATACCAAAGCATATTTGCCAATTCCATTACGTAGTTATTTGGTTATTTTCTCAATTAAGTTGTGTATTCACTTTCATATTCTTTGCAATATATTAATTTATTTTACTTCGTTTTATTCACTTATTTGCTTACAGTATCGCAAAATCTACTTACGTTTTTTTTTCTCTGATTCATCCATTCTGTTAGTTCTGTACTTATAAGTGGTGTTTTAGAGAACGTGATTTTGAACTTCTTTCACTTCGGTTCCTCTGTTATGGCCTGAGCATGTATGTGACGTCCGTGATGTTCGATTTTACCTGCAGAAAGAAAATATTAATATGTGTGTCTGACGTCCATAATAAAGTGTATACATGTACTTTCAATTACACCGTTTAGCTGCGAAATTTTTAAGTTGGGTACTTTATTATAAAATTCATAAGCTGTACTTGTGCACGTATCCACAAAAATGTACTGCCCAGTTATACTTTTGCCCATTGTTACGAACGGTCCAAGTAACGTTTTCTTTTTTCTGCCCATTATCGCGCTAAGTAGTGAAGACATACGGAAAAAGTTTGAATTGTTTCCCTATTCTCAGAGCAGTCGTGACATCAACCCTGGCTCGGAGCTGTTAGTCTGGTACTCTGACGACTACGAACAGTTTATGGGAATTCCCCTTGGCCTACAGGGAATATCCAATTCTTCAGAAGTCACCGAGAAGAGCGAATCAGAAAGTAACTGTCTATACGAAACAATTTTATAATGTACAGCCGCACATGTTTTACTATAGCTGTCCAATGGTTGTACAATATTATTATATGATGCGTCGCCTCTCTATATATATGTTTAAGGATTATACAGACTTCAACAAAAGTTAAGGACCACCTTGACAGACAGTCTTGATTTTTTTAAATATCCGAAAAAAAGACAGCAAGGAATGTTTCAAATTTGTTTTACTCTGAAAGCGGTAAATGGTTACCAATGCGTACTGCAAAGCCTCCTAAAGGACAAAAACCACCACGTGCAGCACGGACATCCTCGGGGAATTGTAGCCAAATTTTCTGGTTTTTATCGACTTGTGTACGACACCAAGGACTTTCCTCAATAAAAATTTCTGGTGCACGTCATAAACGGACGTACGGTCATGAACTGTGCTCACTTTGATGGCAATATAAACCATCGTTTGCCCAAAATCCGGATTCGCATCAACATACCACCAAGACGAAAGCTGAGAGACTTTGATCTTGCCAGAGCTACGGCATTACTGGAGGATGGAGTTGGAGCCCGAGAAGTTGCCAGAAGGCTTGCAGTGTCATACTCTGTCATTGTCCGCCCAAGGCAGCACCATCACGCCACTGGATCAGTCCAAAAACGCCCACGTGCAGGTCGACCCAAGAAGACCACTCAGAGTGTTTGCAAGTGGTCCCTAACTTTTGTTGAAGTCTGTATAATATTATATTATGAATGTTCTGTCAAAGGTCCACTGCAAAACACCCTCAACAGTAAACCTGTGACGACATTTGAGTTAATGCTCGTATAATTTGGGGGACTGGTCTTTTTCTTTTAGTTGTGGAGTTGGTGTTAATCGTGTATGCAACCATTTGTTACATCATTAACAGTTCGTTTATTGCGGCATCCCATATCTATGTTTTAATTGTGTTTCAGCCTACTATCTTTAGTTCACGATGGAAAAAGGACTCTTTCATCTAATACTGCTGTGAAAAATCTCTTTTTAGAGGTTCTGAGAAAAAGGACAGTCAGTGTCGAAGCAGCCTGCCTCCGAAGTGATTGTGTCGAACCGAGTGTAAAATATCTACAATCACAATTACAATACCCCTTCTTCCTTTCGGCCCTACCCTCTTTTTTTATCTCTGCGCCTGCGCACAGCGACCAACGGCTTCCAGTGCGAGCACTGCGGCAAAGTGTTCACCTACCAGTACTACAAGGACAAGCACCTCAAGTACACAAAGTGTGTAGACCAAGGTCACCGCAAGTTCCCCTGTCAGCTATGTAGCAGGTATGCTGTTTTTCGTATGAGTTCAAAGCCCTGCTAGGCACGCTCGAATGCGTGTGTATGGGGGGGGGGGGTGTTATTGAACAAGAAAAGAATAAGTCAGGCTGAAAAAAAACTAAAGGGCTGCTCAGCGGCGATAAAACAATGTTGAGTTGAATGTCTGCATTTGAATAACAATATTGTGTATTATGCAAAATGATCGGGGATCAATAAATGTCGAATTTATTTTTAATTTGCATCTTATCTTTTTTTTAAATCACTTTCATGCACAGATCGTTTGAGAAGAAGGACCGACTCCGCATTCACGTGTTACACGTACACGAGAAACACCGGCCCCACAAGTGTCTGGTGTGTGGGAAGAGCTTCAGTCAGTCCTCCAGTCTCAACAAACACATGAGAGTAAGTTAGAGGAATAATTAAAGCATGTGTAGCCTACAAGAGGTAGACCCAGGGCAACATACTTAGGGAATCTAAACAAATTGGTAATGGGGAAAGATCAGGGAAATGTAGCTTTTTTAAGAGCATCCGAGCAAAGGAACGAATGGAGAACCATGATCGCCGATGTCTATTGCAGATCTGGCACTGGACGATGGGCCCAGTGAAATGTATTCGCTTTGTTTATTTTTTAAATTTGTTTCTGTTTTTCTTTCTTTTATTCCTTATACACAAAATCGGTGATTGCTAGGGCTGAAGTCATGGGTGTTTTGGATTTTTCTTGTGCGTACTGGGTGTCGGTTTTGTTTCGTCTTCCCTTACTAGGTGCTGGGTTTAAAAAAAGAAGGGGGTTGATGGTGGCGGTGAAAGTGGTTTCTCTCAGTTTTATTTTTTATTTTATTGGAAGGTGGTTTTGGGGGTGAGGGTGATTGTTTGTTTTTTTAGATTGTTTTTTCTTTCTTTCTTCTGCTTTAGAAGCTATAGAGTGGAGAGGAACGACAAAGGATGAGAGGTTGAAGAGAGTGGGAAAGAGAAGCGATTGTTGAAAAGGAGACGGTGGCAGTAGAAGAAGGGAGGAGGTATAGGACAAAAGAAGACTGACCTGAGAATGGAAGCTAGTTGCTTAAATCAAGGTACCACCTTCAACCCTTTGATAACAAAAATTCTAGTAAATGTATGTCTTTTCTCTTCTGGTTTGCGCCTGTAATCTTTTTTTTTCTTTTCTTCCTCCTCATTCCCTTCCCCTTCCCCTTCTTCTTTTTCCTCCTGCTTCTTATGCTCCTCTTCCTCTTTACTGTCATTTGCAATCAATGCACGCTGGTCTCTGATCTTCCCTCTAGGTACACAGTGGAGAACGCCCGTACAAATGCGTGTACTGTAACAAATCCTTCACGGCCTCCAGCATACTCCGGACTCACATCAGGCAACATTCGGGGGAGAGACCCTTCAAGGTAGTTCAAAGTTAATGCTTTTATAACACAAAGTTTCCATTATCACCACTTCCGTCATCGCCATCCTCAGAACCACCTTCGACCATGTTGTTATCATCATCATCATCATCATCATCATCATCATCATCATCATCATCATCATCATCATCATCATCATCATCGTCATCATCATCATCATCGAAAAATGAGCAAACGCGCGGGCGAGAGAGAGAGAGAGATAGAGAGAGAGAGAGAGAGAGAGAGAGAGAGAGAGAGAGAGAGAGAGAGAGAGAGAGAGAGAAAGGCAGAGACAGAGAGACTGACTGACAGACAAAGAAACAGAGACAGACAGACAGACAGACAGACAGACAGACAGACAGACAGACAGACAGACAGACAGACAGACAGACAGACAGACAAGCCTGGGCCTATCTAGCCGAATAGATTCGAAGGGAAGCATGTTATCTCCATCGACCCTCGATCGTCGCATCGTCCCAAAAAGTGACAGGTTATGGGAAAGTGGCTTCACTTCGGTTTTGGTTACTATCTGATGACTGAAACAGTGGATTCTGTCGCTTTGTGTACGTATGTGCGTATGTATGTGTGTGCGCGCGAATGTATGTGTGCATGTTTGTGTGAGTATGTGAATGTATGTGTGTGCGTGTTTATATGTGTGCGTCTGTAAGTGTGTAGGTGTGTGCATGTGTGTGTGTGCGTGTATGAATGTATGTGTGTGTTTGTGCGAGTGTGTATACGTATGAATGTGTGTACGTGTCTGTGTGTGCTTTTGTTTGGAGGGAGCAGTTTTAGGGCCGTGGTAAAATTGTGCCTTTCTTCTTTTTCGCTGACCATTGCGACTGTATGTGTACTCCTCATTTCCTCCAGTGCAAGTTTTGCGGCAAAGCCTTCGCCTCCCACGCAGCCCATGACAGTCACGTGAGGCGCACGCATGCGCGGGACAAGCGACTGAACTGTGAGATCTGTGGCATGGAGTTTGCTCATGAGCTGGAGCTGCAGCGACACTCTCTCAGTCACATGGGTAAGCAGTTGACACCTGTGTCTGTGACGTAATAGTTCGTTTTTGTGTGCTGCACGAAAAAGATTCTTTTTTTGTGCAGGTGCTGTTACGCCTCAATCGACACAATGAAAAAGATCATTAGGAAGGCGGGGTTCCGATCATGCCTGTCAGCACCACCCCGCGCAGAGAGGGATACAACATCCAAGCAGAAAGACTCTGATACTTGATAAACAATTCTCCACAATTGGGAATCAAATTCGGGTCTCCTGCGTGCGACAGCGAAGCGCCTAGACACTACATCATGGACGCGGTAAAGTAAAAGACGAGAGTTCAAGTCTCAGGCTGGGAAGTAATTTTATTGAGTGTAATAGATGTGTTTTTATACAGGATTGTTGGGGTGTAGTATTCCTCACAGCTTGGATTGATCCTAGCGCGTAGAGGGAGTGAAACAGTTTGCTTAGTTAGGTCCAGCGCACAATAGGAAAATGTCCGCTCATCACACGGCTGCATGTATGCAAATTAGGCATATTTTTGCCCGTTCGTCTCTATTCACGACCCAATGATGTACTTCACAGCCAGAGACGAGTGGAAATTTTCCTTGTGCGCACAAGGCCTTAATGATTTCAGAATTATGACGATCTGGAAGCAAAACCTTTACAATCCTTAGCTTAGTAAATGTTGCACCCTTCTGATCTCCGAAGTAAGATGTCACTTATAAAAGGAAACAAACGGGCAAAATTGCCTCATTTGCATGTTAGCAGCTGTGCGATGGGTAGACATTTTTGGACGTGAGCGGCCGTGTTTATACTTATCTGTCTTATATCAAAATGTGGCCTTTGTCAGGCCAATTCACCAAAAACAAGACTCAACACTAATCGTTGAAGGAAATCAACAAGAACGACAGCAAAACAAAACCAAAAAAAAACAAGAACAATAACAACACCAGCAAAAACAATTAACAAAGCGACGGCAACGACGGCATCAACACCAACAAACCAAGCAAAAGTAATGACCACAACATGAACCCTTGCTATTGACTATTGTTTTACGACCCTCCAGACACAGGCGGATTCGTTTCTTATAATGGCCGTAGATCCTTGTTTCATTTTGAATATTTTGCAACCCAATTGACACAATTTCCATAATTTGGCAGGCGGGCTGCTTCCACCCTGCAGGATAGGGCCAACTCAGGCTAATTGGAATACAACATTCTGGAAATAAATTATCACTCGTTAAATTGAACTCTCCTTTTGCGAGCAACCGCAAAGAACAGTACCAGATACCAATTTTTTGTTTGTCTGAGGCTGCAATGTTTTAAAGTTATTGCTTTATGCGTGTGTGTAAGAAGGGGGGGGGGTGGAATATGAAGTTTTAAATCAGTGATCCTGATACTTTATGCTCCACTTACGTCCATTGTAATTCCATGCTCTTTGATCACACTAAACTTCACTTTTTCCCAATTAAAGGTATCCGAGGTAAAAATTAAACCCACTCGTCACCAGCAAGAGATGCAACCCCTCAAATTATGGACTATCACTTTGGAACTTATCTATGCTATCTAGTTTTTCTGCATGTCGTATATATTTGTCAAATATTTGTCTTACTTCTTCCTTTAATTTTTCACAATAGCATCTAGGGTCAGTGACTCCACTTACAAATGATCCGTTTGTGTTTTCTTTGAAGTCAAACTCACCACC